CTAGGTTCTGGTAGCCACGCCCCGTCCCGCCCAGGTTAGTAGCGGGGCCCGGGGGTGGGCGGCGCCGGGAGCCGAGCGGGCGCTGAGGTGGAAGGGAGCTCAGACTGGTGCCTGGATCCCTGACGGGGTGGGAGTGAGGTGAGAGGAGCTCTGGTTTCGGAGCTCTGTGGATCTCGGGGAGGGAGCAGCGCTCGGAGCCTGCAGGGCGAAGCACCCTGTCGGGGCAGGTCGCCCTTTCTGTGGGAGGGCAGTTTCTGTCCGGGTGTGGACCTTTGAGGAACTGTCGAGGCGCCCAAGCCCATGGGGGCGGGGATCAAGACAATTGTAAATGAGTTTTAATTAATTATAGCGGACTTGGGGTCCGTCTGGGGTGTTCAGGATGTCCTCCGGTGCAGGCATCCCAGGCACGGATTAGTGTTAGGTGAGGGTGCTCTTGGTGAGAGCTCATCTTGGTTCCCGGAAGCCGATAGAGCACCCTTTTGGCTTTCCCAGCACCGGCCGGCCCAGCTGTTAGAACAGGGTGCGCTCTGTGGCTTTTGGAGAGCCAGCTTCCTCTTTTTCCCTCTGCCCTTCAGACCTCCTTCTTCCAGAAATTTCTCACCCTCTGCTTCAACTACCTCCTGAGAGACGTGATTCCCATAATTCCTTATGGGTTGCTGAAGGCTGACCATGTCGATTCTCCTAGAACTGCTTCCTGCTGAGGATGGCATAGCCCCTACATGTATGGGAATCCAGAACTCTAACTGCTCCAGCAGCTGGCAGGAGGCCTTGGGCCCTTGGGGCTGGGTTCTGGAAGAATGGGCTGGATCCCTGGATGATTATGAGCCTGATACATAGCTGCTGAATCTTGGAAGACACGAGAGAAATTATGACATTATGAAGCACGGGCCAAGAGTCAAGAGGAGAATTACAGCAGTCCAGGGCCAAGTGAGGAAGGCTAGCCATGAGAACCAGGGCTAGACATTTGCTTTCCACCTGGACCAATCTAGTGAACATTGTTGACTGTCTAGTGAATCTAGTTGACAATCTAGTGAACATTGTTGGTACCATAGTTTTCTCTAGCCTTTTAGATTTTGGAATCCAGGCCAAGACCGGTCCAGACTCATTATTTAAAACACGACAAACAAAGAAAATCCAGTGATCTTTAAGCATTGCATAGGTTTCCTCTGCTTATCTGTAAGTAGGTCTAGAACCTAGCTGGTCAAGGCACACAGTGGAGAAGATTGGGCAGGATAGCAGCATAGTCTTGTAAAACTGTGTGAATATCTGATCTAAATGTTAAATTCTGTTGTAGCCACCTATCTCCATACAAAAGTGGCACTGACCACCCCCATCTCAGAGATCTTCAGGGGCTGCTATGAGCCTTCTGTGTGGCTGGGCAGGGGTAGACAGATGGCCTGCTGATCTGTAGCGAGGTAGGGGTATAAGCAGTTGGCATTTTGGCCTTTTTTGTTTGTTTGTTTTTGTTTTTGTTTGGTACCAGGGATCAAACTCCAGTCCTTGTGCTTGTGAAGCAGGCGGCAGAACCACTGAGCTAAATCCCCATCCCTTATTTTGGAGAAGTACAACCATAGGAACATTAAAGGTGCTCCCATCTTAGTTTAAAAATGGCACTGAAGAGTAAGTTGAACTAGACAAAACATCAGGAGGATAAACCAACTAAATATAGAAAGGACAAATTCTAAGCCCAAGATTGATGCGCACTTGTGCTGAAACAACTGATCTGTTATATTTTGAGAAAGGTCCTTGTCTCTTCCCAGGTATAGTTTTATAGTTCTTCCTGCAGATAAATCTAAAACAAATTTTTAAGTAGGCGAGGATCTGAAGGGTGTGTAAACAATAGTCAGCTAAGGCAGTAAGGATTATTGCAAAAGATGCAGAGGTATGAGTATAAAGGGTGTTCAACAGTAGGTAGCTTACCTGTAGTTGGATCCTTCTGTTTCTTCTCAAAGGTACTTGGGATTCTTGACAGGCTCATAAGAGTATTTGGTCTTTTCTGTCTGGTCATTTGTCACCTTGGGTGTGTCATGTCGAGCAGGCTTGATCTTAGAGAGGTGACTGTAGCTATGTGCCACCTATCTGCCACCTTTAAGGTTGGCATGGCTAAAATGACTGGAAAAGGGACTTTCTGCTTTGGTCTTAATTGGTCTGCTGGGCTTCCTTCTTTCCAGGCCTTAAGAAGTACTTGGTCTCAGGGTCAGGGATTTAGCTCAGTGGCACCACATCTGCCTCACAAGCCCCAGGTCCTGAGTTCAATCCCTGGTACCAAAAAAAGAAAAAAAAAAAAAAAAGTACTTGTTCTCCATCAGGGACACTAGGTTCTGGCTGGACTTTATTCCCATGTAATTGTGCTTGGCCCAAATTAATATGATGCAATAAAAGTCTTGTGGCCTGAACCACTGTAATAATCAGAAGATAGAAAAGACCTTCCATACTGCATTTCAAAGGACCCATATTTAGCCTCGTTTGGGGGCAACTAGGGAACTGTAATAACACTGAATCTTCTAATGCAAGAACTTAACTCACTTCTCCATTTATTTAGCTGGTTTTTATCATATAAGCTTTTACATGTTTGTTTTATATTTATTTTATGCTTTGTGACAATTAAAAGTAGTATCTTTTTAAATTCAGCTTCTATTTGCTCATTGCAAGTATATAAAAAGTATAATTTATTTTTATTTATCAATCTTGCATCCTGTGATTTTGTAAACTTATTCTAGATTTTTGGACTGTGGAATCTGGGGTTTTCTACATTGGCAGTCATATTGTGAATGAGCCAGTTTTATATTTTCCTTTTCAATCTATGTGCCTGTGTTTTTTGTATACATTTTGAACTGCTATTTTGATCAAAGCATTTATGTTTTAGATAATTATTATTTTATATTATTAAATCCTTGCCAAATTGGGTATGAGGATAATTAAAAGGGATTAGGTCTGAGCCTAGCCAGGTAAGGTGCTTGGTTAGATTGTCAGTTCATTCTTGTGCTTCTTTCAAATCTTCATTCACAATGTGGCTCATCTTTCCTCATGGCCCATTCATTGGTTGAAATACTCTGTCCTCAGACCAGTGTGGGCATGAATAGGCTTGGGATTTAAGTAATCATGGAGATTCTAATTGCTATTAGAATTACAGTGGCAGTGCTTTCCCAAGACCCTCACATACAGGTGGCACCTTGATACTTATGAGATAGTTACCAAAGCTCTAGAGATAGATTTGCATGCTGAATTCAGCTCCAGGCCACATTCAAGGCCTTGTGGAGCCTTATTAGCTCATGGAGGGAGCTATTTACATTCAAGAACAGTCACACAATAGTCTTACGTGTACGGGACAAGTTCTTACAACTCTTCCTCCTCTAATGGTACCTCGGCCTGAGCCATTTGCTTATCTGTTCTGCTCTGTGGACAGGGTTTAACCTTTCAAGCTGTGCTATAACAGGAGTAAGACATTTTATGTGAGGATTGGCTTTATTGTGATCCATCGTTTTCCTATTTTGGGATGACCAAGGATGGGGCCACATATTTGTAGTGAATTTACTGGATGTTGTTGATCTCCTTCTTGGACATAGTCTGTTCCCCATCAAATTAGAGACATGTCAATATGGTCACAATTTTATAATGTAACTGGGCACACTGTGTGTACAGCTGTATGTTCATTTGTTTATGTCACTGGGTAATAAAACTTTTTCCAAGAGTGGAGTGTACTTCCATTCCCTTTGTGTTTTTCTGTGCTTCAAAATTATTTGCAGTGGTAACCAGAAAAGAAACAACTACTGTACATAAAGTAAAAGAACTTTCAAAGAATGTCTTTCCTATGTTCAGTCCAGGAAAAAAATACTATCTTTTTGGCCAGACACTGCCAGAATTGAGAAACTAAAGAGAGGAATTCTAAAGCTGGTTTCCTAGAAGAAAAAGAACCTCAAAAGTAGTGTACATATTCTGAATTAGATTAACTGACGAGAGAGAGAGAGAGAGAGAGAGAGAGAGAGAGAGAAAGAGAGAAGAGAACCATGTACTGATGTTGTGAATTTTCCTTTTTCTCTTTGTAAACCAGGTTGAAAAGGAGAAGCAAGCCTGCCCCCAAAAAGAAGTGACAGGAGGAGAGTCCCATGAGTCGATGGCCTCAGCTCCTGCACTCACCTCATCCCAGGCCATCTGTCTTCCTCTGGCAAGTTGCCTGACTTCGAGTGCTATGCAGGGGCATACACATGCTGATGCCTATGGTCCCCACAGCCAGGGAGCCCCAGGGCTGCCCGCCTGCAGGTGAGAAGGGTGTCTATGGCTGGTGGCCCAGCAGCAGTCCTTGGCCTCCAGCGCTGTGGCTCAGATTTTCTGCGTCACCTACCATCCTTTCTCCCCAAGATGTAACACTGGGTCTGCAGGGAGGGGTGGCCCCAATGCCAGCTTATGTGGCGCCTTCTGAGCCCTTTTCCCCTCTATGCCTGGCATCCTGTTGCTTTTGGTGGTTTTTGATCCTAACCATTTTTATAGTTAGTTCCCTATGGGTTTCTCTCTTTCCTAGCACCCTTCATTTGCTATTTGGCCTCCTGAATGAGCTCCTGGTACTGGACCACAGGCAAAGCTCCAAGTTGTCTTACAAGCAAGGTCAGGCTGCCATATAATCCAGCAAAGTAGAGAAACCCAAGGGGATAGAAGTTGTCTAAATTTGCATGTCAGGTGCAGCCAGTGTGCTGTGTCAGATCAGAGAACGGGTGAGGAGGAACCCCTCATCCTCCTCAGCCTTGGCTCGAGCCTCCCAAAGCCTTTGTGAACTTCTCCTGGACCAGACTGGGTGAAACTGACCTTCCGAGGGTTTGTTTACACTTGGTCCCACCAGACATTGTGTCACTATAGAACCAGCTTCTTTCAAACTGTCTGGCCTTGAGCAAGCTATCTGGCTTCAGCTGCTTTGTCCTCTCTTCCCATTTCCTGAGGAACGTAGACACAGGGCTGCTGCCCTCCTACTCATTCCCTTCAGGATGTAGCCACATGGCCTGGGCACTTTCACGAGACTAGGAGAGAGCGTAGAGAGCTTCCACTTCCAGCGTAGCCCTGATTGCTGGGGAGACTGAGGCCTGGTGCTTCTCAGCACCCTCCCTGACTATTCCTCTGTGTTTGTGTCTCGTGGTGTCATGGGATTAAGAAAACCAGGATAGGAACTTGGCCACAAGGAAGAGGACAGCTGAATCAGGAAAGCTAAGCAGCCCCAGACACCCCCCCGCTCAATGTAAGAGGACCCATGGGGAGGGCATCGGAACAGGACAGCAGTGGGCAGGGCTATGGGCTCACCTCCCATCTCTGAGCTCCTGCTCCCATTCTTTGTGTCCCCAGACTTGGGAAGGGCTTAGATCCCGAACAAGAGCTCTGATGGGGGCTGCAAGAGCAACACCTCACCCTGCACCACCCCTTCACCACATTCTTTATGCCCCGTGGGGAAAGATTGGCCAGGTCAGAGGGAAAACCCTCAGGTCACGTGTGCCCTATGGACTGTGTATGTGCAGGTGTGTGGTGTGCCTGTCTGTGTGTCTGTGTGTAAGCTGGGGAGCTCAGGTTGGGAGAATATCTTTGGATTTACATTTCTTTCCCAGGCCTGTTAATCATGAGCCCCTCTCCGTGTGGTTTGGGGTCATTTCCACCCCTAAGGACCTGGCCAACGAGCTCATTCTAGAATGTTAGAAGTTAGAAGTTAGCCACGCTAACTTCTTCACAGGTCTAACGTGTCCTTAGTAGTGGGCTTAGAGGAGCCCCCTGTCGACCACTTTCCCTACTCAGTGCACAGTTGGCAGCAGGAAGGCCAGAGGCTGCAGTAGAGCCATCTCTATGCCGGCTCCATCTGTGTCCATTCCAGAAGCCATTTCAGCCTGTTCTAGCCCATACTTAGCTGATTTGGTTATGGGCTCTGAACGGTGGGATGAAATGTAAAGATGTAGTGGACCCCACAAACCCCAGCCCCCAGTGCCTTGCTCCCCAGAGCCCCATGAAGGAAGGGAGCCATGCCCAGCCCTAGAGAGGACTGGGCTCTTTGTTCTTCCAGGTCCAGCACTTAAATTTATGTCTCAGAAGGCCTTTCCTCACCCAGCTGGGCCACACAAGAGGTCTTCTTCCCACTCCCTCCTCTGTGTGGACAGTGTGTGCCATGTACACTCAGCGCTTGGCCCTGCTGTTGTCTTCCTGTGATTCTCTGGTACAGTCTAGGTGCAGGTTCTCAGCTTCCTGCCATCCCAGAGACGCTTCCCTTGAAGACAGCACTGTTTCCATAGTCACTCTACCCATCCACTTTAGTTGTGTTGGTCCTTGTAGCACTTAGCACCTTCTGGGATTACCTCATTCACTTATTGTTAAACTCGTGGCTCCCCTTTCCTCACAATGGATGCAGCCACTGCCAGCAACCATCTACTGCTCCATCCCGTTTCCAGCACTAGTAAGAGCTCAATAAATCCTTGTTGATTGAGTGAATGTTTGCTTATTGGTTTTTTGTGGGAATAACTTTTAAAAAGCATAGATGATTTGAGAGGTCAGAGGTACTGCTGGTGACCTGGCAGTGCTTTCTGTGTGGAGTAAAGAGAAGTGCGGAACAGGAGTCCCAGAGTGCATATGGGGTTCCCTCGGTCTAGCGTGACCACGAAGGGCATGTGCTGGGTGTGGACTTGGGACCCCTGAGCAGCCTGAGATGCTGCTGGGAGGGTGGTAGGGTTGGTGTGTGAAGGAGGTGGAGAAAGTTAGAACTTGTGAAGCAGGAAGGGGAAGTGAGACACAGCCACCGGAGGAGAAGAGTATGGATCTGGTGGTTTGCAGGGCATGGTGGGAGCCTGAGGCAATGCCTGCCTGGGGCTTTGACTTTCTCTGTAACCAGGAGGTGACTTGGCTTGCTCACAACAGTGGTGGAGCGTGGGGGTGGGGGGCAGATGTATGAGGGCAGAGGGTGGGATTATGAAGAGACCATTTTAAACCCTTTAATCATAATCCTCACGAATTTGTAAATTCTATTTATTTATTTATTTAAAATTCAAGACAACATTTTGTCACTTTGTCCCCTTGCCTACAACTTAGTTAGATCATATTTAGATCTGAGTCCTACATCTAAACTAGGAACTAGTATTAGTTCAGATGAAAGATAAAAGAATAGGAGAAAGGCCTAGTCTAATCTTTCCAGCAAATAAAAGATTCAAGATGAAATTTGCCTATGGGTTTCCCCTTGGGGACTTCCAACCACTGCACCAGGTAGGAGAGAAGGTGCAGTACCAGGGACAATGACTCTCTGAATGTCCGCTGGGCAGCTGCTGTAACAGCAGAGATGTGGAAGCCCATCCGCAGCACTGACACCATGAACAGGTACTTACTGTCTCTGCTCAAGTAAAATGAAGTGTCCTTCATGGACAAAGACACAGTGCTGAGGAGCCGTGGATTTGGCTCAATGGTTCTGCTGCCTGCCTCGCAAGTGCAAGGTCCTGAGTTTGCTCCCCAGTGCAAAAACAAACAAACAAAGACACAGTGCTGACTCAGAGGCAGAGTGCACAGCTGTTATTTGGAGAGGTTTTCCATAGTCTTCTTACCCGTAACACAGCTGTACACTTGCAGAAACAGTTGGTTAAGTGCAGTTATAACAATAATTTATTCAGCATTCACTGCACCAAGGGTTATTTTACAATTGTAAGTAAGAGTGGCCACTCCTGGCCCCCCATATTAGCTGAAGCTGTGAGCCCGACTTTTTGTTACCACGTGCAAGCTGTAAGTCTAACCTGAGGTGGCAGAGCCTTTGGACACCTGGAGATGCCACCACATGAGATGAGAGGAGGTGGTGTCAGAGGATGGCAGGCCAAGCCTCCACACCCCAGGGTAGCTCTAGAGCCTATGCTGACTTAACTTTGTATGGAGAAGGATCCCACTGAGTTCAAGAACCTGACAAGCCACAATTTCACAATGGAAGGCAGAGTTTGACAGAATCCTTTTAGTGATTTTCTAAATGGCTTACTGAATTGATATGGGTACTACTTGGCATGACATTATATATAGGTTTGGGTTTAGTTGCTGGCATTTCAGTGACTACTTGTTTTCCCCAATCCATCTGTCCCCAAGTTGGTGTTCAACTTCTTATCAACTGGCCATTTTTACCCAAAGTACAGAAAAGCAAAAGAGGACTGCAAACATTTATGATCATTATTCCTATACCTTTTATTTTTAAACAAATTTACATAAGAGTATTTGATATAGCACTAGAAATCCATCCCAGTTGCATAAGCTACATTATAAATGATATTATATATCGATGACATTAATGATACATAAAATAGGATGGGAAGAAATGAAGAAAAAGGGAGGTTACAGCCTAAGTGGTGATCACTTCACAGTAAATCAGTATCTGTTGGATTTGAATAATTTGAATAAAAAAGATTTCTTAAGGCTAAGTTCTATTTCCAAAGTGGCCTCCCTGCTGACTTCAACATACGTGACTCTCTCAAGGACCCATTCCTAATCTGAGGCTGGAAGCCCAAGGACCCTGTGGTGTTTGGAGAGGATAACGGACTTCTTTCTACAACTTGAAGGCTGTAGGATTTTGTAGGGAGTTAGATAATCACTCATAATTAGGGTCCAGAAAGAAGGTGCTGTCTTGTGGCAAGGAGATCCAAGTGTCTATGTCCCTTTTCCTTCCATAGTTAGGAGTTGTATAATCACTAGAAAGAAAAGAGGAAAGCATGTCCAGGTCCCTGTTTGAGCAGGTGGCTGATGGTGGTGAAATTCCTTTTTGTGGTGAGTTAATGACAGATGTTCTTGATAAAGATGGGAAGTTATTTATGTCGGCACTACCAAATCTTCCTTCAGTGCAGAAAGAGCTTTGGGGCTATTTGTTACTAATGAAGCCACAGCATGTTCACTATCTGAGGCAGATATTTATGAGATACTGAAAACATTTCCTTGGCCCAGGTGGCAGCCTATGCTCAGCCTGTATTGATGTCCAGGCAAACACATTTGGTCAGTGATGAGATGGAGGTGTCCTTTTGTGTCCACCATGGCTAGGAGGATGTGGGACTGACATGGGACTCAATAGATGTTCTGGCAATGTTATTATCTAAGTCACCTTTGTACTGGAGGGTAGTTTCCCCAACACCTCACATCTCTCTCACCTGCCAGGTGGAAGTCCATTCACAGTGGAACCCTTTGCAGGCCTCTTCCGCAAGAACAAGTGAAAGGCATGGGAAACAGAGTATCCACAAGGAAGGTCGCTGGAAGCCAGCCTGCCATGTACTGGTGGGAGTTACTATAGA